GGGGGGGCGGGGGGGGACTGGCTGAGGACAGCCCTGCCCTCTGTCCTCAGAGCTCAGCATGGCCAGCAGGGTGCTCCAGGGGGCTGCTGGCTTCCTCAAGGCCTGTGGGCTCCTGGGCAGCCTCTACCTCTTCATCTGCTCCCTGGACATCCTCAGCTCTGCCTTCCAGCTGCTAGGCAGTGAGTGACGGGCTAAGTGGCTGGGGGTGGGGCAGCCAGCCAACCCTCCCCAGCCTCAGGGCACCCGTCTCTCGGGCGTAGGCAAAGTAGCTGGAGACATCTTCAAGGACAACGTGGTGCTGTCCAACCCTGTGGCTGGACTGGTCATCGGCGTGCTGGGCACGGTCCTTGTGCAGAGCTCCAGCACGTCCTCCTCCATCGTGGTCAGCATGGTGGCCTCCAAGCGTGAGTGCCCCCCTCCCCGCCCCGGGATGGTGGTGGTGGGGTGACGGGTGAGAGGCTGATGCAGCGCCCCTACAGTGCTGACCGTGCGGGCATCTGTGCCCGTCATCATGGGCGTCAACGTGGGCACATCCGTCACCAGCACCCTGGTCTCGATGGCGCAGTCGGGGGACCGGGACGCGTTTCGGAGGTGAGTGAGGTGCGGGGGAGGGCAGGGGCTGCGGCTGAGGCTTCCGACCACCCAACTCCGTGTGGCCTCAGGGCCTTTGGCGGCTCAGCCGTGCACGGCGTCTTCAACTGGCTCACGGCGCTGACCCTGCTGCCGCTGGAGAGCGCTGCGGCCCCCCTGGAGAGGCTCAGCACACTGGCCCTGGGCGCTGCCAGCCTGCAGCCCGGGGGGCGCGCGCCTGACATCCTCAAGGTGCTGACACGGCCGCTCACACACCTCATCGTGCAGGTGAGGCCAGCCGCTGCTTCCGGCAGGACCCACACGCCAGGCGTGGCGGGGAGGGGTTTCTTGGGGAGGTGGCGACAGACAGCCGAGGCAGATGTGGGCAGGGCGTCGTCGGCTGGGGGAAGAGAGAGCACAGTGGGCCGGGCTGTGGTCCTCTGAGCCCCCGGGGAGTCCAACACCAGACCCAGACTCCTCTGTCCCCCAGCTGGATGCTGATGTCATTACGGGCAGCGGCACAGGCAACGCTACCAACAGTAGCCTCATTAAGCGATGGTGTGGCACCGAGGCGCAGACGGTGAGCTGCCTTGGACCCCTGACCCCCGACCCACTGAATTAGCCGGTCCTGGCTACTCTGAGCCTGTCCTGAGCCCAACCCGCCTTGCCTCCCCAGACTGCAGGGAACAGCAGCACCTGTGCAGCGGCCACTGGGGGCCCCTGCCCTGCGAGGAACAGCTCTGCCGCCGAGGAGCAGCTGCCCTGTGAGGCCCGGCGCCCGCCCCAGCCCCCGCCCACCCCGCACGCTGGCCGCAGCTCACCCACCCCTGCCCTGCCGCCAGGCCACCACCTGTTCGAGGGCACAGCGCTCGCGGACCTGGCCGTGGGCTTCATCCTGCTGGCTGGCTCCCTGCTCGTGCTCTGCGCCTGCCTCGCCCTCATCGTCAAGCTGCTCAGCTCCACTCTGCGGGGCCGCGTGGGCCAGGCCGTGAGCACCGTCGTCAACGCCGGTGGGCCTTGGGGAGGCGGTGAGGGTGGCGGCGAGGAGGCCCGGCTTGGGGTGACCGGCTCGCCCTCTGCAGACTTTCCCTCCCCATTCGGCTGGCTCAGCGGCTATCTGGCCATCCTCGTGGGGGCCGGCCTGACCTTCGCACTCCAGAGCAGCAGCGTCTTCACCGCAGCTGTCGTGCCGCTCGTGGGTGAGCGCAACAGGTGGCACCTGACAGAGGGGGCAGGGGGTGAGGGGCCCGTGACGACCCCTGGCTCCCCCAGGGGTCCGGGTGATCAGCCTGGAGCGGGCGTACCCCCTCTTCCTGGGCTCCAACATCGGCACCACCACCACGGCCCTGCTGGCTGCCCTGGCCAGCCCTTCAGATATGCTGATCAGCGCCGTCCAGGTACCACGCTGCTGCACTCCTCCCCTGCCCCCAAGCCCCTCCCACTCCCAACACAGGCCTGGGGCGTGCGCTCAGGCTCAGCCCCCTCCTGTCCAGCCCTGTGGGCTGGAGGAGGCAGGCCTGCCCTGGGGCCTCAGGCTCGAGCTCTCCTGGGCCCCACCTCTGGCTGCCTGCTCAAACCTGCAGCCTCCTCATCTCCCGGGCCCCCAGGGGCCCTGCGGGCGTTTCTCAGGGCCCCAGGCCTTCCCCTCTTCCCCTGCAACCTTATCACTTCTAGGGCCCTGTAGCCCCGGGGTGCCTTCTCCTTTCCAGCTGGCAGCTCCCCCCAACCTCTCCTGAGGGACCACTGCACACTGCTGGCTGTGTCCCTTTGGGGCCTCCCGGCCCTCAGGGGC